TGATGTAAATATCAGCAACTCAACGCCCTCATCATCAAAGCAAATTCTCATCATTGAATCTTCTGTTTGAAATGGTACCAGGCATGGTATTTGATTAATAACTTTGTTAAAGATTGAATCTTGAATAATAGTTCTTAAGGAAAAACTGAAGTTCTTCAAAAGAGAGAGTTGAGAAGTCAAGAGTTTGTGTTCAATTCATTTCAACCGAAAACATTAAACTTTACAAAGACTATATCAGACCTTTTCAGATCAAAAAACAGAACCTACAAACTAGGTGTCTAGAAGCTCTTCTCCAGCCAATAATTGGTCATTGGAGGATATCATCCATCCACTTGGAAGAAGATGGGAAACACAGTACAACTTAAAAAACCAGATAAAAAACCAGCTGTATGGATTCTAAAAACAGAAACTTAGCCGTTGCAAATTTTAAACCAAACGGCTACTTGCTAGAAATAGCAAGTTCTTCACTTCTTCGATTTCAGAGCTCTCTTCACTTCTCTCTGCAGGTTTGTCATCTGCAATTCAACATTAAGCTTGTATGCAGCTTACATCTCAACAGCCTCTCCTAAGCTGCTTACTGGCTTCACTCCAAGTCTCAATCTCAACTGATTAAATCTATCCTTTGGCAAAGCTTTTGTAAATATATCTGCAAGTTGTTCTTCACTTCTGCAAAACTGCACATTGATCATCCCTTCTTGCAGAGCTTCCCTTATGAATGATATCGCCTGTTTATGTGTCTAGTTCTCTGATGAAACACAGGGTTTTTGACCATAGAAATTGCTGACATATTGTCACAGAATAAAGGTGTTGCCTCAGTTTGCATTTCTCCAAAGTCATCAAGAACAAATCTTAACCAAATTGATTGTGCAGTCGCCTCAGCTGCTGAAACATACTCAGCTTCAGCTGTTGACAGTGCAACTGTGTTCTGTTTCACAGAGGCCCAAGAAAATACCCCACTGCCAAAACTGAAAGCATAGCCAGAAGTGCTTCTGCTATCATCTTCACTGCCTGCCCAATCTGCATCACAGAAACCAATAAGAATTGCAGACTTGTCTTTCACATATTCAATGCCATAGTTTAGGGTCCCTTGCACATATCTCAGTACCCTTTTTGCAACTCCCAGATGCTTCTTAGTTGGTCCATTCATAAACCTTGATAACAGACTTGCAGCATACATAAGATCAGGTCTAGTTGCTGTTAAGTACAGTAAGCTTCCAACAATTTTCCTGTAAAGCCCTTCATCTGCCAACTCACTCCCATCCACCTTTTTAAGTCTTTCACCAGTAGATAAGGGAATGGACACAGGTTTGCAATCTTCAAGCCCAAACTTCTCAAGTAGAGATTTTGCATACTTACTTTGGTGAATAAATACACCTTGATCAGTTTGTAATATCCCCATATCAAGGAAATGATGCAGGAGACCAAGATCTGACATTTCATATTTCTGCATCATCTCCTTTTTAAACTCACAAATCATCTTTTCACTGCTGCCAGTATAGATAATGTCATCAACATATATTGAGACAATTATCAATCCTCCTTCATCATCAGATCTTGTGTATAGAGTGGCTTCACTTGTACTTCTTTTGAATTTACACAGAGAAAGGTGAGCATCAATTTCACTGTACCAGGCTCTAGGTGCCTGTTTAAGTCCATATAAAGCCTTCCTTAACTTGTAGACTTTTTGACTTGCATTTCTCACCTCAAAACCTTCAGGCTGCTCAACATACACTTCTTCATCAATCACACCATTCAGAAACGCAGATTTAACATCCAGTTGGAACAGTTTCCATCCCTTTTGTGCTGCTAAGGCAATGAGAGTTCGAATTGTGTCTAATCTTGCCACAGGTGCAAAAGTTTCATTGTAATCAACCCCTGGTTTCTGTGCATACCCCTTTGCTACAAGTCTGGCTTTGTGCTTTTGAACTGTTCCATCCAGATTCAATTTTGTTTTAAACACCCATTTCACACCTATAACAGGTTTATCAACAGGTCTCTCAACAAGTTCCCAAGTGTTGTTCTTCTCAATCATCTCCAATTCTGCATTCATAGCTTCTTGCCAAGCTAAATCACTTGCTGCTTCTGAATAAGTCTCAGGTTCTATAATGCACATGTGACACCTTGCATATATATCTTCTAGAGTTTTCAATTTCACTGGAGTGGAGCTTGGTGTGGAGCTTTGACTGTGATTTTCACCATTGTCCTCAACTGACTCATGAACAACAGTGTTTGAATGAGAACTTCCAGCACTGTTATACTGGAGATCATCAGATTGTTCCTCTCTATCTTCTTCTTCATAGTCAAATCCTTCAAGATTTAAATGAGTTGAAGTAGGCTCCATTTGATCATTTTTCCAATTCCATGATTGTTTTTCACTGAAAATTACACTTCTTGAGAGTACTATCTTTTTAGATTGTAGATCATATACTCTATATCCTTTTTCACAGCTCCCATATCCCATGAATACTCATTTCCTGGACTTTTCATCGAACTTGTGTCTCAGATGTGAAGAAATATGAGTATAGCAAACACAACCAAAAATTTTCAGGTGCTTGATTCCAGGCTTTCTACCTGTGAATGCTTCAAATGGAGTTTTGTCTAGAACAGATGTTGTAAAACATCTATTTTGAAGATACACTGCTGTGCTTACAGCTTCTGCCCAGAATTCTATAGGCATTCCCTTCTCAACCATCATGGACCTTGCCATTTCACCAATCGATCTATTCTTCCTCTCAGCAACTCCATTCTGCTGAGGAGAGTAGGCAATAGTCAGTTGCCTCTCCATTCCTATGCTTGCACAGTAATCTAGAAACTCATTTGAGGTGTATTCACCACCTCTATCACTCCTTAGCTTCTTTAAGTTGTATCCACTTTGCAGTTCAACAAACACTTTGAATTTCTTGAACACATTGAAGGCATCAGATTTGTTTCTTAGAAAGTATACCCAACACATTCTTGAAAAATCATCAATGAATGTGATGAAGTATCTATTTCCTCCAATGGACTCATTTTGCATAGGTCCACACAAATCTGTATGCACCAGTTCAAGTGGGCAGCTTGCTCTCCATGCTTTTTCTTTGTCAAAGGATTCTCTGTGATGCTTGCCTGATACACAACCTTCACACACATCTTTCATTTCTGTCAACACAGGTAGTCCAACCACCATTTCCTTCTGCTGCATCTTTTTCATACTGATAAAGTTCAGATGTCCAAGTCTTCTGTGCCATATCCATGAGTCTTCAACTATAGAGGCTTTCCTTGCTGCATGAGTTATGGACTCCAGTGAGAGAGGAAAACATCGATTTCCTGCCATTATCACCTTTGCCACAACATTTTTAAGACTGTTATCATCAAAGATCACTGCCATATTACCCCCAAATAGAACATAATAGCCATGCTCCATCATTTGACCTACACTTAGTAAGTTTTCATCCAAACCAGGAACCAGCAATACTTCATTTATATATCTTTTCCCACGCTGAGTTTCAACCACCAAAGTGCCTTTTCCAGTTGCTTGTACAAGATCACCAGTGCCCATTTTAACTTTACAAGTCACAGATCTGTCAAGATTTATTAAGGTAGACTCATTTGATGTCATGTGATTGCTGCAAGCACTGTCCACAAACCACACACTTCTATCTTGCACAGTTGATGAGTGACAGGCATAAAACATGGTTCCTGTAGTTACTTCTTCTTCCTTTGCACAGTGAGCAACTTGCTTGTGACCATCACAGTCCTTTGCAAGATGACCAAAACGATTGCACTTTCCACATTTTGGTTTTCCTTTGTATCTGCACACACCAAAATGAAATTTCTGGCACACTTGACACTGTGGTTTCACAGAACTTTGACTACTGCTCCCTTGCTTATTCTGTGCATTGAATCTGTTGTTCCAATTACTTCCTGGATTGTTACTCCAGCTTCCACTCGGAGACCAGTTTGATCCCTTCTTGTTTTGTCCCTGCCACTTTTGATTTGGCCTACTCTGAGAACTTTTGTAAGTGCCAGTGACCTGATTGTTTCCAACTCTGAGGCTACTAAAAGCCCTCTCAGTTTCTGTCAATCTATCCCTTTCATCATGTAAGTCTTCCCTTTTATCATATACTTTGACAGATGCAATAACTTCTTCCACTCTAATAGCATCCAGATCTCGAGTTTCCTCAATAATAGACACAATGGATTTATACCTCCTACTTAGACTCATCAATAGTTTCTGCACAATTCTTTGTTCAGTTACATCTTCACCAAGAGACTTCAGGTTATTCACAATTCCAAAAAACCTACCCAAATAGTCATCTAGGTTTTCACTATCTGTCATTCTCATATATTCAAAATCAGCCCTAACAGCATGAAGTTTCACAGCTCTTACCTTTTTATCTCCTCTGAACTCTCTTCTCAGAATGTCCCAAGCCCCTTTTGCAGTCTTCTCATTTCTGATACGAGGAAAAAGCTCATCTGTTATAGCTCCTTGTATAAGACTCAACGCCTTGGCGTTTTTGATTCTGTCTTCTCTGGAGATGGTTGGTGGTTCCACTGGAATTTGCTCAGCCTCACTACCCTCCTCTCCAGAACCTTCTTCTTCTTCAGAAATCTGCTGAACTTGTACACCGAGTTCCACTACATCCCATAGATCATGTGCTATGAGGATAGTTTCCATCTTGACAGCCCAAAAATCGTAGTTTGCACCATCGAACTGTGGAGTTCGTAAGTCTCCACTGGAAGAACCTGATCCCACCATTTTCTTAGTGAGTATCAGTGAATCAACCAATAAAGGAACCACCTTTATCCTTTCTGGGATTTTTCTTAAGGAGGAACCTCTCTCACAGCTTTACTCCCTTCTTCGGAATCAGACCAAAAGCTCTGATACCATGTTTGAAATGGTACCAGGCATGGTATTTGATTAATAACTTTGTTAAAGATTGAATCTTGAATAATAGTTCTTAAGGAAAAACTGAAGTTCTTCAAAAGAGAGAGTTGAGAAGTCAAGAGTTTGTGTTCAATTCATTTCAACCGAAAACATTAAACTTTACAAAGACTATATCAGACCTTTTCAGATCAAAAAACAGAACCTACAAACTAGGTGTCTAGAAGCTCTTCTCCAGCCAATAATTGGTCATTGGAGGATATCATCCATCCACTTGGAAGAAGATGGGAAACACAGTACAACTTAAAAACCAGATAAAAAACCAGCTGTATGGATTCTAAAAACAGAAACTTAGCCGTTGCAAATTTTAAACCAAACGGCTACTTGCTAGAAATAGCAAGTTCTTCACTTCTTCGATTTCAGAGCTCTCTTCACTTCTCTCTGCAGGTTTGTCATCTGCAATTCAACATTAAGCTTGTATGCAGCTTACATCTCAACATCTTCAGTCTCCATCCGCTCAATCAGCCGAGCGTGGTCCTTTCTTGATCTACTAACCGGCAGAAAAAGAAACATGTTCAAAGTAGCAACGACAGCATAATTCAGATATTAAAACCATGCAATCAGAAGCCAAAACAAACCTCTCAGCGTTTTCATCAGGGAAAAAGTAAAGTCCAACATCTTGAAGGTCAGGAGGTTGGCATTGGAAGATATCAGTCCACAGTTGGGATCGAGGAAGAAAATTCGCCTTGAGGACACGAGGCATTGTTTGTGCAAATCTATAGGCTTTAGGATGGATCTTACAAGGAGGTCGTCCCTGGAACCCTCCGATGAATTCACTTGTTGTAGCTGCATCAACGATGAACCCTCCCCTAAAGAAAGAAATATCAATTAAGCTTTTGCGATCATAACTTCCCGAAATCATGACAGAATATAGAGTATGTAACATCTTAAATGGACAAGCTACCCGCCTCCAAGTAACTTGTAGAGCAGGAAGGCTCGAGCGATTTAGATTGAGACTAGCAAGCGTATTCTCAAGATCTCTTTCTTCAGCATCTGCATGGTTATGTTCAGCAACAACTGTGTTACCAGATTAATTAAGGTAGGTTCAATTGTTGTCAAGGCAACAATTGAACCAACCTCAGTCGCAACTGGGCTACAATTTCAAAATTTTCACAAGATGTTGGTAACTTCATAGGAAAGAAATGAATTCCACAAATTGCCACGTAAATATGTTATCGGTTTTATAACACTTGCCTGGACTGGAAATAGGTGAGGAGTGCCTCATTGTTGCAACTGTGAACGGTTCCTTTTTTATTGCAGCCTCCATCTTCTTCCGAGAAGTTTCATTATATGGTCTTGGAACTAATACGTCCGCTGGTTGCTTCTCTCGAACATGCTCCTTTCCAGAAGCTCCCGGAGTCTTTGTTTCAACGGATGTTCCCGGAGCTAAGACATCCTTTGATTGATTCTCCCGAACATGCTCCTTTCCATAAGCTACTGAAATATTTGTTCCTACAAATGGAATCAGAGATCATAAGCATTGCACACACAACCATTTATCAAAGTTACAAATTTTGTGACGACCATCTTCACATTTTTGGTAACACGCACAATATTTTCAACAGAAAAAGGTGAATGGATACATCAAATACAGTCTCAATACGTATGAGTACCAATGATATGGAAGACACTGTGTCGATAATAATATTGACGATACAAAAGGGATTTACTTATAAGACAAATGTTTAAGACGAAAGGTTAAAAGATTTGTCACCTTTTGAATCCTTCAATATTGGAAATGTTTGCTGATTTATCTTTGAGATATTTAACATATTGGCATTCCTGCCACAGCTAGGAGGCTTCACATATCCTGAAGGCACAATGCTGGGATTTGCTTTGATTGCAGGCGTTGGATACTTTGTTGTCGCGATTTTAGAGCCAAAAGTAGTCTTCTGGGACATAAGTGCTGTAGAACTTGACTGACCAGGTTTGGAGCTGAAAGTATTTCGCTGAGATCTCGTTGTTTCAACTCCTGATGATAGCCTAATGACTTCTCCTTGTGAGATGTACTTAACTTTTCCAGTCCCAATTGGCTTTTGCCACCCCGAATCAGCAAGAACTCTGCTGGGACCTGATGGATGCATGACATCGCGGTTGTCGAAATCAGTGGGGGATGCTAAATTGTCTTCCTCTCCGAGACATTCTTCGCAAATCCAATCCTCCCAAGCTTCCATATCAACTTTCCGCATGCAATAACTGAAAAACGAAGACATCACACAAAACCACATTCACCAGTCAATATGGTGCAAAAAGATTACAGTTTGCAATCAGTACAAACCATTACAGTAAATTGTACCGTAAAAAAGGAACCTTAGGAAATCGAAAGGTGATTCAAAATACCATGCATGATGGGTATCGAAAGTTGATGAGAGTAATTTAGAATACTTGAGGAAGCTCGGAAGAAACGTCGTTTAGAAGGATCTTTTGTGAGAAACATTCGTTTTGGGGGAACTTTGCGGGATTTGATTTCTACATATTCTTCTTTACCCAAGTAGATTATTATCTTGTGATTATGGTAGCTAACAGGTGAGTTTACATTTGTAATTAGACTTGCCTTCTAACCTTTATTGTACTTTTATTTATTTGCATAAACAAGTTTTCTATTTCTTCTTTTAATTTTCAGAGGAAAAAAAAAAGGCAAAAAACAAGATGCATCATGATTTTGATCGACTGATATTATTAAGAAGACATACTATTCAGTTCTTGATTGACAGGCAAGCAAAGTAGCCAAACTGCATGCACACACAAATGCAGCTACATATATGCTCGTGCAGAAAGAGAGAGAGAGAGAGAGTCATACGGGTGTGCACGAGCTATATTGCATTTACGGCAAGTTGCAATGAGGTTCTCGTCATTACCACTACCGCATGTATCACAGGGTGCGACCTGAAAAAGAACGCATTGCTTATTTGGAGACCAACCATGGCATGTAACAATAAAAAGGGTTAGGAGTAGAAGTGGCATAGTGGCAAGGTTGTAGGCTTCTTAAGTATATTGTAACAATTTATTTCGGACACGACAAGGGTGTAGGCTTGATAAGGCGATACTTTAAACTATAGAAATGAAGATTCGAACAGGGTCAAGGGAGTGAGCATATTGTCCTTGACAATTGGACCTAACTAGCATTTGGAAACAAGGTTGTAGTATGTTGTAAAACATATACTCAAGTCAATGTGAAATTGTAACTGGTGAAACAGGGTATCCAATTTATTTCCCTTCAATTTTAAGTCAGATTCAAGTTTGAGAAATGTTAAAGGAACTCTCAAAAGTAGAAATCTCCATGAATTTTCTGATACCTCACAATTAAATAATATATGATGTACCACCTCGTATTATGTGCACATTAAAAAATCTCTTGTATGATTGATTTCAACATATAGGCACAAAAGGAAACTCAATGAGAATCATAAATCCATGAGAGACAAAACCAACGAAGAAAACAAGGAAATAAAAACAGAAAAGTAAAATCACACCCAAATAAAAATAAACCGAAAAACATGCAACAACTTGGGACTTGTTTGAAAGTATTTTGAAAATGACTAAAAACTCTTTTAGAGAAAATGGCCATTAGCTCGTTTGTAAATGATTTTAAAATGATTGAAAGCGTTTTTGATGAAATAGATTTTAGGTTCCAAAAGGACTTTAAATGATTTTTGAAAGAAGCATCAGACATGTGTTTCTTGCATGAAACACTTAAATTGCTTATCTAGGATTCACCTAGATTTTTTATAAGGGATTGGTTTGAAAAATAATTCACTAAAAACGTTTTTAATCATTTTCAAAGCACTTTCAAACAAGCCATATGAATTTTAAAAGCACTTAAATAACTTCTTGCAATAAGCACTACAAGTGATTGTACTTGTATTTTTACTAAAAATTAATTAAAAATATATTTCATTTTAATTATTTTAAATTCAACAACAATAAAAACCATCGAACGCGGCCAAATCATAAAAGATAAAAATAATAAAAGAGAATTAGGTTTGTGGGGGCTTTTTACCATGTGGGTTTCTCTCGGTTCTTGCATTTGATTTTTGTGTGCGTTGGACTGGAAGAAGCAAGCTACTTGTCTTTGTAGTTGTAGCTGTAGCTGGTAGGGTAGGAGGCGAGGAGGGTGACGAATCGGTGACGAATCTGTGACCCACTCACTCACTCAGCTCAGACTCACTCACTGCAGAGTCTCTGGTTTTAGAGAGAGAAAGAAAGGAGAGAGAGGGTGAGGGGGAGAATTGTACACTGTACCTGCAATTTTACAAGCTTTCCGGGCATGCGATCTGTGTCTGGTTTGTGTCTCGGAATATTTTTGCTGACCATCCTGAAATGGTGTTGATGCTCGCATGAGTTTAAATTTTGAAATCTGTGTAGTGGATTGACTTAAGCCTCAAAATTTAAATTCATGCAACGATAATAAAATAGATGGTTACCATCTCTTAAGATGTCATTTATTTGGGTAGCCAATTCATAGGTAAGGGGGATGAACATATTATTAGGTCAAAGTCGCCCGATCACGTGTCGTGTTAAATCATTCAATACAAATAAGTATATAAAGATGTTATCAACAGTTGACATATTTGTCTGTGGTGAAACTTCAATGATGATATGAACGTATTAAGAGACACATGATAAGATCGTTTCACCTAAGATTTTTCCTAACTAGGTTAGATTAAGAGAAATGATTTGTCCGGACGTTTTTTTTTTTTTTTCTTTCTTCACAATCCTATTTATATATGTCTCTTATTCTAGTTTGATTTTAATAAGAAACTAAAACAAACATAATTTTGTACGTGAAAAAAAAAATATGCGAAAATCACTTCTCTAAATTATATTCGAGGGAATAGGGACCATTCACCAATATGTTGAGAAATTAATGTGAAATAATGTTTTGACGTGTGAAGTGAGGCTATTACTAACATAAGATGTCATCATTCTTATTTTTATCTTTTGATTATATTTTATAATGTGAATAATAACATTGCGTAATATGTAGTTATCGGTATTATAATTCTTTTATTATTTGATTAGTGATTGGTTATTGAAGAATATGTAATGCATTTAAGATTTGAGATAACTACAGGCATTCAACTTTGAGTTACCATCATACATTTTAATTCAGAGCATGATTTAGACTTTTGTAAGTTTCCTTCACCTTCTGCGAAGAATATTTGTTCGAGGCAGATTCAAACTGAACGGTAGTCCTTCTAGGCATTGTCTGCCTGGTATCTACTCGGCCAGAGCTCGAGTGCAATTTACTCGATGAAGAAAACTTCACTCTGCCAGTTACTGGTGACATTTGCTTTCTAAGACGACCTGAACTGCCGGTCTCTTCAGTAAGCCTTTTGGAACGCATAGATCGCCACATTTCAGAGCGGACCATCTCAAGGGTGTTCGATCCTGAAGCCTGGTGAGATAGTTCATTTCTAACAGAATTTTTTAGTGGCTGCACCTCCAGAACTACATGTTTCACGAACCCAAATTTCTGGAACAAACATAAGGAGGATTTTCATGCAGTATCTGGAATAGAAGCAGTAACCTGTTTAGTATAAGAACCCGAATTGGTTAATAAAAAATGCACAATCTCGTAGTTTTACAAATAAACTTTGACGATACAGATACAGATCAAACGGAAGCGGGTGGCAACCAAGGTCATTCCGTCTTGTGGTTAAACAAGGTTAGCCAGGTTGATTAAGCAAACAAGGATCTGATCAAGTCTTTAGAGTAATACGATCCAAAAAATTGTGACGAGTACACTCGTGATTGTATAAGTTGTAGAACTACAGCAAGGTAGCAACAAAGGTATCATAAGAAAGACAACCTTAACATCGGAACTACAGTTTCCGTAGTCCAGATTGTACAGAAAGTTATGAGCTACAGAAGTGCTATCAGGAACCGAAATAGAAAACACTGCAAATAAGAACAGATACATATATACTCATACGTCAACGTGCATGCCCACTAAAACACAGGGACACACGTGTGGGCACACGCATTTTCGGGTTGGGCGTGAATGCTCCGTCCATTGGTGGAGGGATTTGGCAAAAGCTACGGTAAGCTCAAACTCGTGTGAGTATTATTTTTCAAAAATTCAACTTTTACCATCTATTTGTATCATCTTTCTAACAGAGATGGGACCCCATCTTTCTAATAGAGATGGAACCCCATCTCTCTAAAAGAGATGGAACCCACATGGTAGGCGGACTCTATTTCTATTAGAAAGACGGTACAAATGATGGTACAAATATACTGTAAGTGTAGCATTACTTATTGTTTTTTGATAACCAAATTGTACAAGTGCAAACGTAAAGAGCGAAGACGTGTTTGGTGACACAACGAAAATGAAAAACATTGCAACATCTTGGACAATTTGTCTAGTATGGTTTGGTGCATAGCATGAATTGTTGTTTTAATTTATGCCATGGGCCGATTCATTCTAAAATTTTCTCACGTTAAAAAATCTGGTCATTAGAAAACACAAATGAGACTTGGAAAGCCAATATTGTTCCTGATTTTTTGTGCTATATCAGGGTAAATTTGAGATTGTGTATATAACGTAGTTTATGAATCCGAAGATTAAAACTAGTAGAGAGAAGTTGCGATGTGAATATATCATCTGGTGATGCAGAAGGATGATTTTGTTGACGACGGAGTTTTAGCCATTTGCAGGAAGTTGGTGAGGGAAATAAATTCAACATTAAAGGGTCTATATGCTCAACCAACGCCAGATTATGATGGACCACCATGACAATGTGTTCCCCTCAATTTATATATATATATGGAAAATTAAGATTTGGTTCCTAGTTACCAATTCTCGAGACTGAATTGTAATCATAGTAAAATTTCTCTGAAGTAATACTATGTAAGGCAATAACCTACTTAAAGTCATTAAAAATTTCGTTCTCAGCTTGGGACTAGTTATGTATATGAATAAATTCTGCATTGTAATAAGTTATAATTTTCTTGGTCTGGTCTTGGAAAAAACGTCTCCACATGGTAATAATTGTCAACGACTATACAAATATGCAATATCGCAAATAAAAGTTTAAAATAACCTGAACTCTCTCTCTAGATTTGTTTGAGACAACACTTTAGTTTTGGGAATTGATGTCACATTTTTGAATTTACAGGTACATATGTCCAAGAAATAAAATACTTTGACACTCAAAAAATCTTATTTACGAAAAACAACATTTATTAAAGATAAATAAATCAATGAATTGAATTCTTTAACGACACCACAATTAAGTAATAACATCCTAAAGTCAAAACATTGGTTTGGTCTCAACTTTATGAGTAGCAAACTATACTCGGATTCAAATAAATGCAACTGAAAGTACGGTTCAACAACAGGAGCACCATAAATAAACGACGACCATTGCATGATTCAAACATGTAACGAGTCATTCTTACTTATAGGCGAAATAATCCAACGCGTGCATAAATTGCTTACAAAATGAAAGATGATGAACAAAAATCCATCTGTGATTTGTTTGCAATGAGAAATGACTCGATTCTTATACATTAGAAACCAATTATAAGTAACGTTGAAAAATACCCAAAATAATAAAAAAAATCAAGAAAACAACCAAACCCATGAAACAAAACCAAGTAAGAAAACAGTGCCAATAATACTCATCAAATTAATAGGGACTAGCCAGTAGTGCACTCTCAGATTAGATCTAAACTAATGTACAAAAAACAAAGAGAGACGGAAAGACAGATGCTTCACGGTTCACACCACCCAAAAGGAATCAAAAGCCCATCCGCTTTTCCCCACAGCTGCTTTTTTACCACATAGTACAATAATTTAATTACTTAGAACTTTAGGAGGGCAATGGAGATGCAAAAATACAAAGAACTTAGCAAGGATGTCCCCTAAGATGTTCATATTTGCACATCCTACCCCACGTCCTCCTCACGCCCACCAAATTTCTTTTCAGGCCCACCAAAGCATCAAGCCTGAGAAGAATAGGGTTAGGAGAGAAGAAAACAAGCTAGTAGTGTCAATAGGTCTAATCACACCGCTGTCGTCCGTGTTGATGCCAGCTCCCGATGGCCCTACTCCCGTTCCAATGCCTCCTAGTACTCCAGGAGTTGCTGTGTATGGGGTGGTGCCTGTAGGTGTTGTACCAGTTGTAGGGGTTGTGCCGGTGGTAGGGGTTGTGCCAGTGGTCGGGGTTGTTCCGGTGGTTGGGGTAGTTCCAGTGATTGGGGTAGTTCCGGTGGTTGGGGTTGTGCCGGTTCCAGTGGTTCCAGTGGATGGTGTTGTCGGAGTTGTGCCTGAGGAGCTGAAGGACAAAGCGAAGCAATATTTAACACACCAAACACAGCAATTAGAAATGCCAGAATCGAAGCTGCATGCACACGATCATGTGAAGCATACAGAATGGGAGAATACAAAATAAATCTCATGGAAACAAGTAATAATTTTACACGAAAATTTACGATGCCATATGGTTATGCAGTGCCTGAACAAAGACCGTGCAGCATAATGCTCATCGGAGATCCTACAAAGCACTCTTTGGGATAGATAATCTCCATCATATGAAATGGAATGTAAAGGAACAAGCATGATATTGCAAAAGCAGTCAACCTTACAGAGATGCTGGTAAAGCAAGATTTGATCTTCGTCCAGAAACTAGTTCACAGATATGAATAACTATTCAAAGTTGCATCCGATGACGAAGACAGTGAACATTTTATGCCATGCTGCACTGTCACGACCCAAGAAAACATAATATTTTTTCGGATCATATTTAGGCATGTACAATCGTATAAGCTGATTTAAACTTATGCCTGATCAACAAAACTGAGCTGACTGACACACCTAGAAGTATGTCGCTTCCACGTCACTGAGTCCCTATTTTCATTTTTATGAAGAAAACTATGACTCACTTGAGATTTTCACATAAACATACGCCGCTTCAGCAAAATGTGATCCTCCATTGGAGATCAGTCACTTACTGCGGATTCAAAGGCTATTCATTTCCTATTCCATTGAAGTACTTTGTTTAGGAGAGATTTTTCAGGATGCCAAGAACACAACCCCAATACACCAAGTATTACAATACAAGTAGTTGAATACTTACGAAAAAAATAACTTTCTCTCCACTTGTATTATAACACTTGGTGTACCATGCTGTCTTTTCGGCCCATTGAAATATTTCTCCTAAACATTGTTGAGAGGGGATAATTATTAATTAATCACTAATATAAATATGATAGGCCCCATCTGCATACTGAGTCCAAATCCACTAATCTATGAGAGGAGGGAGCACAGCACTACTTTTAAACAAAAGCAGTTAAAGTACATTAGCATCAAAGGCCTTTCCGGAAAGCTTTTGAATTAAAAAAATTACCTTAAGTACTAATTCAAAATGTTAGAAATATTTTACTGTTGAATGAGATGCATCAAGTGTAGACCATCATAAACCTGGGAAAAATTTAAAGCAAAATGAGAGAAATAAGGAACGATAATACATGCGCCATCCGGAAGCCCACCAATAATACAATGTCATGTGAGAAAGTTAAAACACACGACATTATATTTCTCTTGACGTCCCAGATGGCCATGCAAGTGTCACGGATAAGATTCATAAAACTCGTGCACAATTGTTCCTCATTTATTTTCTAAAAAAAATTAAAACACATGATTTGCTTAATAGGCAAATTTAAACCATGGTGGAGTGGGGATTAAAAAGGCACGGCCGTCGAGAATACAAAACTTCAAAAAAGAAGGCTCAAATCTCCAAAAGACTGAGCATCCCAAAGCATATATGAGGACAAAAGCTCTTTTACCACAGGTGTGTGGCCACTACTTTTGATTTTTTGACTGTGTGTGTGGCCACAGATGTACTGCATAACGTGAAAAATGCAGTGTACGGCGCCCGAAGCCAAAAAGGCAACGTTTTTGTTGGCAATGGGCAAGATGGTAAGTCTGTGACAACTTTTTTAACCCTTTTTACTGTTATTTTCAACAAGATCAAACCTTTTCCGCCCTTTGGGCAGTAAATAAAAAGCATTGGATACCCAATTATTTGGGAAAATTTACCGAGCTCCACTACCAAAAAATGGGCAATGAGTCATGAATCATGATGCAAATTACAATACTAGTCAAACCATAAAAAGAGCTCAATTAGATTGAACAAAGCAAAAAGAAAAAGGAGGGTGTTGGATAATAATTATAAGGTACATTGAAAGGAAAATGATTTCGCACGTCGTTATTCTCCTTATGCACACACTTATTTCTATTTTACGCCTTTGAATGAAAAAATGCGTGAAGCAGAAGAAGAAGAAAAAATGTGTGAAGAAATCATTTTTATGTTGAATGTATTAAAATAAAAATAGTGATTAGTTCAAAAAAGTATCTTTTTTTCAATGATAAAGGCATAGGCAATGATGCCTATTGGCCCTTTTCCAACATGCAACGGTGACAAATGTAAAACAAGAAAGCAGAAATTTTCAAGTTGACAGGAATTCGATCCGGTACCACTAAATGTGATAATATAAGTAGTTAAAAAAATATTTGTTAAAAAACACTAAATGTATGAGACCGTGTTCACATACTAAAAAATTTCTCCTTCGGTTAATGAAATGTAACAAGACATCAGATAAACAAGTTGTTTACAGTCAAATGACCAAGAGGAGTTGTCCCTGTCATATTTTGTCTTTTAATAAAAGTGCTTTTTCCTACCGTTCGACTTATGTTTCAAAATCAAGTGTTTCTGCCCTCCCCTAAAATTTGAAATCCAGAAAGTACTGTGGAGTGTGGAGTGTCAGGCATCAAATTGAAGACATTCAAAAGATTAAAGCAGTACTAAATACTAATTAACAAAAATAAAATAAAACCTTGAAAACAAGAAACTAAAAAAAATTGGTGCAAATTAACCATACCTGGCACTGGCAGGGTAAGTACAACCATTTGAGCCTGTAAAAACACCATGAAATTAAAAAAAAGTTACCACCTTTAAACTTTAGTCTTTAATCTAATTAATTTATTCCTAAAAAAAATCAATCAAAAAGCTAATAAAATTAAGAAATTTTTAACAAAAAAATCCCACGATACTGTATAATTTAACGAAAAATCATATTTTTACGTTAAAAAATAAATCCGGATACTATTCACTTCATCCTTTATTTTGTCATTACCATTCAAACTCAAAATTTTCAGAATTTTTTCATTAACTTCCCTTAAAATTAAACCCAAAAGAGAAGGATTTGATGACTTACTGGGATCGGAGGTAGTAGGGGTTGCAGCGCCAGAAAAGTCACAAGTACCGGTGGATTGGCCCTTCTTCTGGAAAAAGCTGTTGACGGCGTAGCTGCAGTGAGCTTTGATAGTGTTGGGGTTGTAGCAAACTCCATTGGGTTTTATGGGGTTGCAATCTGCCCCGGCTCCACAGGCATAGTCCAGTGCCTTCTGCAGGGCTGCAGGGTCTCCGTCTTTGCAAACACACCAGTTTGCTCCTACATAAACATATTTCCCACAAATAAATAAATAAATCAGACTCTCAAAATATTAAAAGGGGTGAGTTTATACATGGTAGGAAGAGCAAAGACCATATCTTTTTTTCTTTTTATTTGAAACCCCAAAAATGCAAACTTTAAAAGAAATATGAAATCTTTTCACATAAATACAAGTTAGAAATTAGAAACAAACAAGGAAAAATGAACACATTGCTAGTAAGGAAAAATTGCATTTTTTAAAACCAAAATAAGATATTGGCTTCATTAGATAAGTAAGATATAGGAAATATGGTAGAGAAAAAATACCCAATTCTCCAAAAAAAAATATATGGAAAATACATAAATGTGTTCTTACTTGACTGGCCAGCCATGGCTAAGAGAAGCAGAGCTGCAAAAGCAAGGGCAGCCATGGTTGAAGGGAAAGAGAGAGGGAGTAGCGTGTGCTAAGTTAACAGTGGAGCTCAAAGAAATCTAGCTACTGCTGAAGTTAGATAGAGAAAGGGAGAGAGAGAGAGAGACAAGGAGAAGTGGGATGAGGGTGTGTGAGAGAGAAAGGGAACATGGGTATTTCTCTAGAAACTCAAAAACCAAAAAATAAAAAAGGAAAAAACTAGGTGATGTTGACGGTGCGGTGACAGTCGCTGTGTGTGTTGTCGGCTTGCAGGTGCCTTTTCTTTTTGAGAGTTTTAAGAAACATTTTTTATACTGGTAATTTTTAATAAAAATAACATTTTTACTTGAAAAAATTATTCTTAATACTATTCATTTACAATATATTTTTATCTTTTTTATTAAAGCTCAAAATTTTCGAAATCTTTTCATTAGTTTTTCTTTTCTTTTTTTCTCTGTCTCGCTATGTGTATAGTTTTTAACAGGTTTTTAATTAAATGAATTTAAAGGATATATATGCACATGGTTTTGATATACTACTTCTAAGGCCATCTCTAACTCGAGGGCTGGCCAAATAGTTCGTTTTAGCCCTCTAATCCTCTAAAATATTAATATTTTAATAAACAATACATAGCCATATTTGCCTATGTCTCCAACCGAGGACCATAGGGCTCATTTTAGCCATGTCACAAAAAATCATCTCCAACCGATGGTCAAATGACCATAAAGCCAAACATAATTTATTATTTAAAAACTACAAATTAAATTTAAAAACAACATTAACTTAAATTTAAATAATACAACAACGTAAATTTAATATTTATAATCAACATCATCTTTATTATCCGTCATTGTAAAAGTATAGTTAGAGGTAAACAACTGTCGCCGAGTCATAATTTTTTCTGTTTTTTCCTATCAAAATAGGTCTTACTTATTGGAGTGTAATTTGAAGTGCTACTTTCCATATTTTTATCATCCATCTATTATTGTATTTGCTTGGCCCGTTCTTCATAGAACTTTAAGTATTTTTTGGATACACGAGTCCAAACACCGTCATTTGTTTGACAATTCCCCCTCACACTATCTTCCGACACCCATCTATAAGCCTTGCAAATAACTTATTCTTCTTTTCGGCTTCAAACCCTACCTTTCATTGCAGACGAGGTCATTTGAAAATTATTGAAAAAATTGAAGGATAGATTTTTGAAAGAGGAAAGAAAATATAAGAATTAAATGGTGTAGGAATGGTGAAAATTTTGTGATGAATGGTTTAGGTATTTATAGGAAAAAAAATTAGAATTTTTAAGAATAAAAAAAAAATTGAATCCAACGGTAATTGAAGTCAGTTAGCTGTTAGATTCAAATTTTTCTTTAAGCAATCATGTCAGATATAACGTACATGAATATATTTATATTAATTATACTCTTGTCAGTTATATCTGACATGATTGCTCTGATTTTCTGGCCAGCCCTTTGGCCCTTTTAGATTCTGTGGGGCTCACGAGCCCTCTGACCTAGCCCTTAGTTGGAGACGGTTTTCGGGCTATTTTCAGTCATCTGGCTCTCTGGACCCTTCCGTTGGAGATGGCCTAATGGGTTACCCAGGACTCGAACCCATAACTAGTCGGATGGAGTAAATAATTTCCTTGATTTTCAAATTTTAAATTAGGTAAAAAATCCCGACTGCCGCTGGGCAGTTTTTGGATATCAAACAGACTTCCCCATAAGGTAATTTTAACATGGCAGATTACGATTTCATGTTCTTTTTAACTCCCCAATAAGGGTTCTGTTCACCCTTCCCTCACGATATTACTTCACTATCGGTCACCCATGAGTATTTAGCCTTGTAAGGTGATCATTGCTGATTCACATGGGATTCCACGTGTCCCATGCTAAGACCCAACCCAGCAGCTGCCGAGCGGGGCGGGGGGGGATAAGCTTGTAATTTCTTATTTTTAGTTATGCCTTTCTAAACTCTATTTTAAAGGTAAATTACACCTTACCACCTCAAGTTTGAGGTCTATTGCAATCTCATACAATATCTTCAAAACATTTCACTTTCATACCTCAAGTACTATTTTATTTCAATATAATATATCCGTTACATTTTTCATCCATTTGATCCGTTAAGAGCTGACATGGCTACCAAATTTATGCCACGTAACAAAAAAATAATTTTTTATACATTTAAAATATTATAATAATTTACCCTGTTAAAAAAAGTAATAATAATCATCTTCTTCCCTTATCCCTTCCCTTTCCCTGCAACCCACTTTTTCCTTGATCCCTTCCTTTTCCCTGCAACCCAATCCCACAAGTCCCACCAACCCTCAAATCCTCCTTCCCAAAAATCATTCCCTTCACCATTTTCATCCCCACCCCCAATCCCAACACCATCGAACTGCTCACCTCCCACTTCATCTGCCCTTCCTCCTCCACCCTCCTCACAGCCTCGTCCATCCACCTGCCATCGACACCCCCGCCCTTGCAAGTTCCAATCTTTAAGGTCCCAAGTTGTTATTCCAGCAGTCGGTTTGACCGCTAATCCAGCCTCCCACTTCATCGACAACGCAGACGGTGGTGGTGGTGCTTTTTTTTTTTTTTTGGGTTTGGGGTTCGAGAGAGAGAATGAGTGATGATTCCTTTTGGTGGTTTCTAAGAATCAAAAACCCATTTCAAATATTTCGAAGTTTTCGGTTTTATAGGTCATCTCCTTTTATTTCAATTTATGGAATTCAACATGAAGTGAATGATGATTCCTTTTGGTGTAGTTTTTCTTCTTCTTTTTCTTTTGGGTCAAGTTTTTTAGTGAGAATTAGGTGTTAATTCTGGTAGAAAATGTGGATATGTGGTTGGATGTTGATTCATACACATTAATATTCTCTCCTCCTCCTTAATCTTATCGGCTTTTTTTCGGATAATTTTGATTTGTTTATCTCTGCCAATTGCCATGGATTGTTAGGGTTTGTCTGATTTGGGGGGTTTGGGGTTCGAGAGAGAGAGAGAGAGTGAGGAGAGTGGACGAGGGTTGGGGGAATGGGTTTCTGGGTTTCAACTTTTTTTTTTTAATGGGTTTTTGGATTTGGATTTGCTAGGTTTTGTTTCAAAGCATGGCACGTGGAATTATAGGGATTTGCAATGTTTGATCCATGGCGAGGAAGGGATGAAGGGTGTAGGGAGGGAGGAAGGTGCATGGAGAGGGAGGGATGAAAAGTGCAGGGAGGGAGGGAGGCGGGGGATGAAGGTTACGGGTTTTTGGGTTTTCAAATATATATATATTTTTCAATAAGGTAATAAAAAAAAAATTGCCATGTGGCATAAATTTCGCAGCCACGTCAGCTTTTAACGAATCAATGAATGAAAAATGTAACAGATGTATTATATTGAAATAAAATAGTACTTGAGATATGAAAGTAAAATGTTTTGAAGATATTGTATGAGATTGCAATAGATCTCAAATCTGAGGTGGTAAAATGTAACTTACCTCTATTTTAATTATAATATTTTCATTGTAACTCAAAAGTAGTTAGTTTATTCTTTAAAATTCAAAATCCCTTGCATTTTGCCCCCTCGGATACAATTTGATTCGCGACATATTACCTTAAATATGTTAGTTTCTTATGTGTGGGTTTGATTTAGGTGAGCCAAGCGAATTAATTTCCTTTCTAATTTTTTTTCATCTCTTCAATTTCTTTTAGGGAAGTGTTATTGGCACTCCAAAAATCTCATTCTACACTCCTCACTAGTGTATTTTTATTTCATATTATAGAAAGTTTGGAGCGTAGAATGAGATTTTTAGAGTGCTAATAACAATTCCCTTCTTTTAAACTTAATATTATCTGATTATTGAATGTTTACGCATAATCAAATTTATTGCACATGTGGCATATTCTTATTGAATGTTGGCTCACATATAAGTTTTAGAAAACGATCTATAAGTTTTAGGAAGAAGAGAGAGTCTATAAGTTAAGTAGAACAAATTTTGAGTTTTAGAAAGTGAAGTAGTGATTTTTTAGTTATAGAGATAAAGTGAATAAAATGGTACGTAGCTAAAACTAATCCTTTTTTTATACCGAAAGCAACTTATCTTTACTATTATATGTTACTGTGTCGTTCTATCCTATACAAAACTATATGTACTTGTGACGAAGTACTTAACTAAGTTTACCTCTTGTCAAAATACAAACAGCATTCATTTCTTGGTCATCAACTTATACATCATCTTTTTGTAAAGTAGTAACTTGGTGTGGACGTCACATGCATGTGTCACTTGTAAATTATTCAGCGTACCCGGTACAGTGGAGTTTCTCCTCCTTAAAGTCTCACTCACACTCACCCGTCAGAAAAAACTCAACGATTCGATCAACCGAAAGAAATACCATTTCAAATTCTTGAAACGCAATTGTGTATTTACCCGCCATTGTTGCAGAAAAGCTTCAGCTTCCTCCTCATAAGGTACGTCCAAGATTTCTCTTGCTTCTCTCTCTCTCTGAATCTTTGAGTTTTTAGAGTTGATTTCCATATGGGTTTTGGGTTTTGAACGAATTAATTGAAGTAGTAAAGTCTCTGTCGTTTTTCAATCTCGGAAAAAGAATTGAAGAAGTTCAAGAATTTCGTAAATTGGGAAGACATGATCAATGATTGCATGTTTTATTTATACGCTCTGTTTTCGCCTTTCGATATTTGTTGAATCAAATTGAAAGGAACCCCGGTGAACAAGTTTTAATTTTTATTTGAATTGCGTGTTGCCAAGATGGAAATTGAAGAAGTTCATGAGTTTCGTAAATTGGGAAAGGTTTGATCAAGGGTTCTTTGTGTTCTTGGGTTGAATTGAAAAGAACTCAGATAAAATATTTTTATTTCTAGTTGAAATTAAAGAAACCCAGATGGAGAGTTTTAATTTTTATTTGAATTGGAAGTTTCCCAGATGCAAAATTCTAAGTTTTGTTTAAACTGAAGGAACTTATACATAATTTTTGAATTTTTACTGTATTTTTTTATCCGAAAAATTTAACTTTCCTCCTCCAAACTCATTTTTTCTAGCCTCTAGTTTGGCCCATCATATAATATTTATCCGGATAATACATAATGATTAGGATCCAATTAAACAACATACCAAATTAAGTTTGTGTGTCCGTTTTTATATTTTTTAGATCCCTAAGGGA